GTAACTAAGACTCATCCATGCCTCGAGAACCAATAAGTTAAACTCATTTAGATTGCAATATGGACATGATATTTACAAAAGTTGATAGATATGCTTATTGATTATATTTTCTAACGAATCAATACAATGACTTGTGATTCCACCAACTCAATGTCGTATAATCTATATCAATTCAACCATTCTTTGTCACATAATCAACCTTTCCAATTTTCTTAAATTAGGAGATCTAATGTTTGAGAATGTTGCATTGGAGAAGAAGCAAAATATTTGAGAAATCAACAGAACGACACAAGAGCTGTTAAACGACACTTGTGTCGTTCTGCCTATAAAGATGAGTATACGTAACTACGACCCATCCATGCCTTGAGAACCAATAAGTTAAACTCATTTAGCTTGCAATATAGACATGATATTTACAAAAGTAGAGATATATGCTCATTGATTATATTTTTTAACGAATCAATACAATGACTTGTGACTTCACCAACTCAATGTCGTTAATCTTTGCCAATTCAACCGTTCTTTATCTCATGATCAATCTTTCTAACTTTTTTAAGTTAGGAGATCTAATGTTTAAGGGTTGCTGCGTTGAAAAATGAGCAAAATATTTGAGAAATCAACAGAACGACACAAGAGCTGTTAAACAAAACTTGTGTCGTTTTGCCTATAAAGACAAGTATATGTAGCCACGATCCATTCATACCCCAATAACCAATAAGTTAAACTCATTTAGGTTGCAATATGGACATGATATTTATAAAAGTTGAGAGATATGCTCATTGATTATATTTTGTAACGGATCAATACCATGACTTGTGATTTCACCAACTCAATGTCATATTATCTATATCAATTCAACCATTCTTTGTCTCATAATATACGTTTTCTTAAGTTAGGAGATCTAATATTTAAGGTTATTGTGTTATAAAATGAGCAAAATATTAGATAAATCAACAGAACGACACAATAGCTATTAAACGACACTTGTGTCGTTCTATCTATAAGGACAAGTATACGTTGCCACGACCTATCCATGCTTCGAGAACAAATAAGTTAAACTCATTTACGTTGTAAAATGGATATGTTATTTACAGAAGTTGAGAGATATGCTCATTAATTATAATCTAGTGAACCAGTAGAATAACTTATACTTTCATCAACTCAATATTATATGATCCATGTCATTTAAAATGTTACTTGTCAAGGAATTAACCTTTTGTATCTTAGGCACGTTAGTGGGTCCAATGTTTGAGGTCGTTGAGTTAAAGTAATCAAAATATAGAAAAAAATCAACAAAATGGAATAAGTGCTGTTACTGTAAAGAAAACGACCCATGGGCTTTTCTGTTTGTATACACAATTATAAAAACAGCCATGTCCTATTTATGCCTCTGAGAATCAATAAGTTGAACTTATTTCGGTTGTAAGATGAACATGATATTTACAAAAGCCGAGATATATGCTTATTGCTTATATTTTAATTAACCAGTAGAATAATTTATACTTTCACCAACTCGATATTACACGATCTATGTCATTTCAATCGTTCTTTATCATGTGAACAACCTTTTTATTTTACTTACATTAGAGAGTCCAATGCTTGATGTCTTTGCCTTGAAAATAAATCAAAGTATTGGAGAATTCAACAGAACAACATAAGTGCCTTTATTGAGAAGAAAACGACCTTGTATCGTGCTATTTGTAAATACAAATACAAGTAGTCATGTTCCGGTTCACTGATAAGGAAGATAGAGTTGGGGTGGGGGTCTACGATGTGATACTCAAGTAGCCCAATTCATGTCTCAAGAAATAATAAGTGAAACCAATTTACGTTGTAATATGCACATGAAATGTACAAACGTTAAGATATATGCTCATTAATTTAATCGACGCATATGAATAGGATGACTTGTGCTTTCACTATTTCGATAATATAAAAGCTATGTCATTTCAATAGTTCTTTATGATATGGTCGAACTTTCTATTTTACATACATTATAGAATCCATTATTAGAAGTTACTTTATTGAAACAGATTAAATATAGATAAAAACTTCTGAATGGTACAAGTGTCGTTACTAGATATGAAAACGGCACATGTACTGTTATATGTGTAAACACGACTATAACCAATCATGATCTATGCCACACGTTTTATGCAACGTCGTTTAGTCGCAAGTGTATGGTGTCAAGTTTTGTAATATAGTATTGAAGTAAGAGTGTCGAACCCACATGGATTGTATTTAATTTTCACTAAGTACTATAATTATGCAATTTCTACTTTATTTAGATGAATGTATGATTGAATTGATGTTTTATGAATGAACAATTTAAACTAAACTAACGTGATTGGATGTAACAAATTTGGGGAATACAATTGATCAAATGAGAGGGCTTAGGGATTGATTTCACCTAACTTTCAATTATGATTTAACGAATTCAAATTATTCCAATTAATTTTCCCATATTTAAAAGCAATAATCCTAATGTATTTCTAACCCCCTCTCTCGAGCACCGATTAAAAATCAACCCTAGATCCAAATTCTAATATCTCTGTTCAAAATTGAAAATCAAGAATTTAATAAAGGTCCGATTTTTTATGGAGTAAGCTTCACGGATTTATACTTTCTCTCGAAACCTATAAATTCTATGTTGTATCACTCTTATGATCATGCCTAAATTCCCACTCTCTCTAGCGTCGGAATAGACTAGCATCAAATCATCCAATTGTTGATCAGGCAATTAAAAATATTAAAATCATGATACAATTAAATATATGTGGGAAAATCAAAGAAATAATTATAAAATCATCAAACCATAATCTTGATTCGGCTACATCAATCCCCTAGATAAATTATTTAATTCATGGTGTAATAAATGAAAATCATAGGAATTATAATACACAACATAAAGAAAAGGATAGAAAAACTAGCCTTTTGGGTAGATTTTCAAACTTTTTCCTTGATGTTGTTCCTCCTTCCTTTTGATATCTTCAATTTTTTGCCTTCTTTAAATTGTGTAGTTGAATTCTTCAATCTTGTCCCCTTCCATCCTTCTTGAAAATAGGGGTTTTGAGTAGTATTTATAGTATATTGGGGGTCTTGGACGAAATAGGGTTGAATTGGGCTAAGAAAATAATCCAAAAACATAAAAACGCATTTTCCCGCATAACCGGCGCCTCGACGCCAAATATGGGCACTGTGGCACTGCCTGTTCTATTAATTTTCAGTCATATGGGCGTTGCAGCGTCGTAGCGCCCGGTTCGACCGAAAAGGCAGACTACGTATTTTTCAGTATTTTTAGCTTAACTTTTATATTCAATGTCCAATTGAGATGATTCAAGATGCATTGAAAAGTTAATTCAAAAGGCTACAACTTTTCTTCGGGCATCATTCGTCAACTTGATAGTTTGCTATGTCAAAAATGGGTCTCAATGTGAGACTGAAACATCAGAGCATAACTTGTCGGTTGGAAATTGATTTATAATCATATTTTGACTAAATTTGATCCATTTGACATATTTTTTCATCCAATTGACTCCTAGTACTCTCGGATATTCATTGCAAGGTTCAACACAACTTTTCAATATTTACACTTTAGTCCCCGAACTTTGGATCTCTTACAATTTGGCTATTTTCTCCAATTTCGCTAACTTTTGCTTATTTCTTTCAATTTCATCAACCTACATCACAACATCAAAACACACATTAAAAAGCTCTAAAACAATCTCAAAATTTGCAAAATAACAAATTAGGTGGTACAAATATCATGAGTGTAGTCATCAATCTATTTGCCCTAAAAAATAATAAATTGAACTTATTTACATTGTAATATGCACATGACATGTACAAAAGTTGAGAGATACGTTCATTAACTTAATTGACACATATGAATAGGACAATTTGTGATTTCACCATCTCGATAATATAAAAGCTATGTCAAGTCTATATTTCTTCATAAAATTGTCAATTTTTCCGTGTTATTTATTTCAGAAGTCCATTATTAGATGTCATTTCATTGAAAAAAATAAACTACAGTAGATAATGATCGTAATGCCGTTTTATGTAACGGATAACGACTGGAATGATGTACTACATTTCGAATAACAATTGAAGAGTCATTACCATCCAATAGTTGCAGGCAACACAAAAAATATACTAAGCACAAAAACAACACCAAATTAAATATTATTCAATAATATATTCAATAATAAATGTACAATTTATATAAGATTTCTAAAATTATCTTTCTTTTTTCTTCAAATATGAATGAGATATTTCAATGTAGATAATAAATGTTCAAAAGATACCCAAATAGGTGAATAATATAATGAGGAATAAGATTTTAAAATAATAAGAATAGTTAAAAAGAAGAAATATGTTTTTGTAATTTTGGGGACAAAAATTGAATTGAGAAGTTTAATTGGATATATGAGGGTGTTTGTGTCTTTTTCAATAATGAGGGTATCTACAACATTTGACATTGTTTGTTTATTGTATTTTGTAAATAAATGTCATTTGACCAAAAAACATTGATGGAAGGTCATTTAATATTGTCTGAATGTGCTATTTAGCAAACTTCCCCTGCTATTATCATGTATTAGTAAATTTAAAGGAAAAGATGCACGCAATGTTGTCGTAAAATCACCATGATTTGAGCATTTTTTAATAATTCTATTTATAATTTAGGATAAAAATATTTAATTAAAAATAGTAACCTTAGATTTTGGGGGGGAGGGGGGTTGTTATAGCACAACTAAAATATATTTAGCTCTTGTTTGGTAGAAATTTTAATTTAAATTGAAGTTAACTATTAATTTTGATCATGTATTCTATAGGATCTACCAACTTTTTAATTATACAATTTAACAAATTTTATCAAAATTTACTTTTTATCCTCATCAAGGACAAAATGAAAAGGTACACTTATTTCCACTTCTTTTTAATGGTAAAACTCCAAAAGTAAATCTCTAACTACAGCAGATCTACCTTCAAGTTCACGGAGACGTAAACAATTACGACTCTAGAACATAAACGGTAAGAATAATGCTACTTTGACGATCATATATAACGAAATTCGGGCTTTGCTCTCTGCAAATCTCTGTGTTTGTGTGTATTTCTATATAGATAGATGAGAAGATGGGCAGAGTCTCATTGATCATCTACATTACAGTAACAATACTCCTCCTAATTCTCGTTTCCCGCTCCTCCAACAAGTCCCACCGTGCTCACCGCCACCGCCGCCTTAGACTCAGGTCCAACTTCAATTTCACGGCGGAACCCCATCACCAACACCGCGAACCCGTCCCTTTTGACCCCCTGATAGCTGACATCGAGCGCCATCGTGAGGACAAGCAGTGGGAGCACAACTACTTTCAGATCCACCATCCCGAGTTGCTGGTTCCAGCCGAGTCGACTCACCAGGAGGCTCCCGGACAGGAGTCTCAGCCCGAGTGGGAGGACTTCATGAATGCCGAGGACTACGTGAATGATGAAGAACGGTTTAATATTACCAACAGATTGGTGGTCTTGTTCCCCAAGATCGATGTTGACCCTATGGATGGGTACGTGAGTGAGCACGAGCTGACTGAGTGGAACTTGCAGCAGAGCCAGCGGGAGGTTCTGCATCGGACTGAAAGGGAGATGGAGGTTCATGATAAGAATAAAGATGGGTTTGTCTCGTACGCTGAGTACGAGGCCCCCGGCTGGGTTACAAAATCAGGTCAATTTCAATTTCATTCTGTCATACTTGAATCCTTTTCTTTTCCTCTATTTATTTATAGAATTTTAGTTATTTCGATCTTGTTCATTTTTTCGTGAATTAAAATAATTCCAATAAAGTTTTTATAGAGTTTTAAGCTTCTTGCCTAGTTATTTGAGGATTTTTACTTTATACTATGTTATTGTGAATGCTATGATCGAGTGATTGGGAAGCTCAAAACCAATAATGGTAGTGCAAGTGACAACTAGTTTAGTTGAGTACTTGAACATAATCTGTCAAATCCAATGGAGGGAAGAAAACAGGCCTAACTTTGTTGGAAATATGGTTTTGAACTGTTCATTTCTATTTGGAGCTGAATGTGTTATAAAACCTAATTTTCACGTCACAAAAAAAATATTTCAGAAATGAAGATCATATCAAGTGCGCATTTGTCGTGTGATTCAATTTATGCAGTAGAAGTGTCCCTTTCAAACAACATTTGCTTGCTTGTCTGGGAACTACATCATTTAGTTAAACCCTTCTGCAGCATATGACAATTCCTTGTAATTGGGCTTGACAATGAGAACTGACCACACCCCTCAATTAAAACAATAGGTTCCATACTTTCTAATATGTCGTTCTTGATTCTCTTACTCCAGATAACAATTCGTTTGGATATGATATGGGCTGGTGGAAAGAGGAGCATTTTAATGCGTCTGATGTGGATGGAGATGGTCTTCTGAATATCACCGAGTTCAATGAGTAAGTTTTTATTCAGCTGGAAGTTTAACCTGTAAAGGATTTAATAGTTTTCTTGGTTCCATATGTTTAATATTCTTCATAAACTACTCAAATATATTGTTTTCCTTTTGCTTATAGCTTTCTTCATCCGGCTGATACCAACAATCCCAAATTACTTCAGTGGTTGTGCAAGGAAGAGATAAGGTGCCATAACTTTTCTTAACTACTTTTATGAATATTGATGGAATTATTTAGTTCCTGTTGCATTTCTTTTTTTTTTGGCGACAGGCACTTTTAGATAGTATCTATATCTATATAATTTTTTGATGCTGCTTGTGCTCATCTATTGTGCTATTCTTCCCTTTCATAGACCTAAAATGGAGTTTGAAGACATCCAAATTCTAAAAGTTGTATAACTTTATTTTACTATTATGATCTCAAAGATGAAACCTTTGTAGTTTTTCATACTTTGACAGTGTTGTCATCATGAATGAACTATCTGATAAAATTGCTTTTTGAAACTTGAAGAACATAGTTGAGCATCAAATTTTTGAGATAGAAATAGAACATTTCCCTTCTCAAAAAAAAAAAATTAATAATAAAAAAAAAAAAAAAAAAAAAAAAAAAATATAAATAAATATAAAAATATAGCGATCAAACAATAAAATCAATGTCCCTGTATATTCTTTCCAATCACATATTGAAAAGTAGTCACTGTTCAGAGTTAAACTTTCTCTGATGACAAATGTCAATGCTTGTTAGTGTTGCTAAATTACATTCGCTTGCTGTGATTTGTGAGCTATAGTTGTCTCTTATTATCATTTGCTAGTGCTGTTATCATTGTTGTCATTGTGAGACATTACTATGTTATAATTTTTCTACCACACTTTCCCTTAATTTGTTATTTATTTCAATTTTACAGGGAAAGAGATAGTGATAGAGATGGTAAGGTTAACTTCAAAGAGTTTTTCCACGGGCTCTTTGATTTGGTGAGAAATTATGATGAAGAGGCGCATAATTCTTCACACGAATCCGATGATACATTGGAGGCTCCAGCTAAGAAATTGTTTACGCAGCTTGACAAAGATGGTGACGGGTGATAATCTAGACATCTCTGTTCAAATGGATTTTATGCTAGATGATGGGTAAAGGGTATATCAATTATATATAACCCGAATTTCTTATGCTGTAGATATTTGTCTCATGAAGAATTATTACCCATTATTGGAAAACTTCATCCATCAGAGCGCTATTACGCTAAACAACAGGCAGAGTACATCATGCAACAGGTATTTATTGCATTTCCATTTGACTAGTTTGATTATTGTAGTCTTTTCGATTTGATGAAATTGATCTGAGGAGAAGTTTTATATGGGCATATCGCTTCTTAGATTATCTATATGGTTAATCTAGGCTAAATGCTTTCATTAATTTGACTTTTGGAGGTTGGCATTATATTTCTACTATGAATGAATGTCCTGGAGTCACGTGTACAACTATTTCAGTGCTCTAATGATGACAAATACATTTTGGGATAAACTTGTGGTCAATAATTATATGTGCACATTAAGCAGACTGACTATTTTCAACATGGGTGCTTGTGTTGTCTGAAAGTGATGTAATGCAATGCATTGAGGTTCTTGATTCCTTTCTCAGTTGCAACTATCAATGTTAAAATAATTGGTGGCTCCTTACACTTGAGTAGATGATTCTAGGGGTGGGCACGGGTCGGTTCGGTTCGGTTCGGTTCTAAAGAGAACCGAACCGAACCGAACCAAAATTTTCGGGTATCTAGTAAATGGAACCGTCAGGTCCAAATATAATTATGGAACCGTTTGGGTTCGGTTCGATTCGGTTCGGTTCTGTACTATAATTAAATTTTTTATAATTTATAACAACATTATATAAATACAACTAATGATACATTCAATGGTTTTGGAATGTCAGATACTAGTAGACTATCTTGTTCAAATGATCGCTACGGTCAAAGTTTCAGTCGGTGGAGGTCACAGTTTCGATCGGAGCTCACAATGTCGGCCGATGATTATATAGGTTTTGGAATGTTAGCGAAGTTGTGAGAGTGAGTGCGAGAGTCTAGACAACGTTATATACTTTAGTGTAGGTGTTTAGGGTTATTTAGTGGATTGGATCTTGTTGGGCTAAGAAATGAAACAATAAAATGGGTAATTGAGCCAAAATTTTAAAAATTAGAAATGAAACAAATTATTGGGTCAAAAATTTGGATTTAGAAATTGTTAATTTGTTTAGAAAAAATTAAAATTAAAATAATTTGATTTACTCAAAATAAAAAAAATTAGAAAGATTCGGTTCTTATTCAATTCTTCAGTTCTTGGTCTAGAACCGAGAACCGAACCGTATCTATCGATTCTCAATTCAGATACCCGTTCGAATATCTAATTTGACAAGAACCGTCGGGTTCGGATCGGGTTCGGCTCGGTTGGTTCGGTTCGGGGGATTTGCCCAGCCCTAGATGATTCATGATAAAGTGCCGAACTTCTTGATGTCTCCTACAATCTTTAAAGAATTTATTTAGCCAACGTAAGGGGTTTTGTCTAAGGTTTTTTTGGTGGCGTTGGAGCCCAACTTCTTGATGTCTCCTAAATCTTTAAAGAATTTATTTAGCCAACTTAAGGGGTTTTGTCTAAGGTATATTTGGCAGCGTCGGAGAAAATAGTTGCCATTGAACCTTCGACTTACTGCAAAAAAATTAATCTCTTGAATAGGAAGAGAAGTGCACGATACAAATTGTGAGCTGCCCCATGTGTGTGTGCATGTCCTAACTGCTGGTTAATTTCCACTTACGTGTTGTAAAACAGTAGGTTCCTTTCAGGGTGGTCGAGTGAATGTTTGGTTGTAATCACAATTTCTTTTTTTAAATTTAAACAAAAGGGTAATCCTTATTCATTCCCTGTTTGATGGCCATTCTTTTTAAAAAAAGAAGAGATTTTTGAATAGTGTTTTAGGAGAATGTGGAGAATGTGTGGTTAAAAAGTAGAGAAAAAGTTTTGGATTTACGTGTAAAATATTTTACTGTGTGAATGTATGGTTAAAAATGATTTTGTAGAAAAAAGAGTTTGAAAATAATGGGAATCAAACAGGTGCTCAATTATGACCTGCCATCGAAACATCGGATCTTGAAATTTTTCAAACTTGAAATTTTTTTTTAGGAACCATCCTCAGGGCACATTCTTTGTCAACCCATATGCACTTTTCGTGGTCACGAAGACGTTTTTCTAACTCGTAATCTTCATCCTGAATTAAATGCTTGAAATGAGAACAGAAGTCAAAAACATTTAGCTACCTTGACAATTGTAAATGCGGATAGTAAGGAATTGAAATAAAGTAACGTCTGTGTGCTACAAACATTGTTACCCTGAAACCAATGTGATCTTGGAATCAGTTCTGTGACTTCACTTTCACACTTTTCAGAAATTCCACAAGTGACTTTTCAGTTTGTATTTTCATCCCTTTCTTGTTTAATTTTCCTCTATCAATGAACTGACAATGTTCTCAGACTCATTGGTATCAACATGTCTATGTCAATTAAATTGAGAGAATCCAGGTTAACCCATTGAGTGAAATTCCTATTAATTGTCCTAATAATTGTATGTTGAAAAGTGATGGCTCCATAATCAGACTTTAGTGAATTTTCTGCCTAGTGATGAACAGTGAGGACAGTGCTGAAAATATAAAACTGATATTTTTGCAGGCTGATTCAGATAAAGATGGTCGTCTGAGCTTGAAAGAGATGATTGAGAGTCCATACGTTTTCTATAGTGCTGTATTTAACGATGATGAAGATGATTATGGATACCATGACGAATTCCGTTAGATCGATGGTAGACAGGCAGGTAAGGTAGTTTATGATTCACAAATATAAATGTTCGGGTCTGTTTTCTCTTCGTAACATGGAAGAATTTGTGCAGGATCATAACATTTCGTTTCGAATTCTTTTTCCTCGTGCTTGTAATGTACAATTAGTCAGCCTACTGGGTTCAAGCCGATGAGGTGTGGATCGTGGACAAATTCTCACATGTTGTGTCCCAATTATCTTGTTTGCCTTTTATATGGTTGTTTTGATAACTGAAAATCTCGAGTACTGTAGCTTAGTTTTACTTTCGATTGCAGAATACGGGTTATTGGTTGTTCAACTAGTGAATGCTTTAGCACAATTCTAGAAACACAACATGTAATTCAAATTCTTTTCCTCCTCTTTGAAATCCATTTTTCATGTCATCTATATGACTCTTGCTATCACCAAATACTTTATGATGTAGACAGTCGATTCATGAAGCAAATTAGTGTTTGCTGCCATAAGATCTAATCATTTTTCTTTTGCATTTCTCTTTTATTTGGTTATTGGAAAGAGTTTCTCCTTTGGTATTTATTTAATCATCGAGTCTTGAAAATTGGAATCAAGAGGCAATTAAGCTTACCTGAAGAGTGCAAAGAGATGATGCACTTAAGGTGCGTTTGGTACACTGTATCCTAATATAGACCCATCAATCAGCACAAAAAGCACTTTATCAATGTGCGATCGACGGCATGCAAGCAACTATTCCCTCTATCTCATTTATATATGCTTACTTTCCTCATTTTCTTGTCTCAGTTAATGTTTCTTTATTGAGCTTGTTTTGTTTTGTTCGTTTACTAATATATCCTTATTTAATTTGCTTAGTTATGACAAATATTTTCACTTAATTTTGGGAGCATGTTTGGGAGTGATTTTGAGAATTGATTTTTTGACCGTTAGGAGAAAAGTGGGATCCATCTGTGAAAGAAGAAGTCAAATATGATGGCCGGAATAGTGAAATAACGGTCAAAAAATCAATTTTTTGGAAGGAAAAATCACTCACAAATAAGCCCTGAAATTGTACAAATATAAACAAGGGTAAACTATGAAAGTTATTGGCAATTTTTTTTTTCAATAACATTAAGGCCTTGTTTGTGGTCCTTTAATTTCAAAAATTGGAGTATGAAATAGTGATTGATGTTGAAATGTTGGTTAAAAAAGAAGGAAAAGTTTTTGATAATGTGTAATATTATTTTAATGGAGAATGTGTGGTTGAAAATGAGTACTGTAGAAGAAATAATGTGGGAGAATGGTTGACAAACAAGGGCTAAAGAATATTTCTTAATCCGTGTGAAAAACAAAATAAGCTTATATAAATGGGATGGAGAAGTAATAAAAACTTGAAGCTTAAATCGAAATTGCCTTACATCTTTATTTGGGTTTCGACGAGGGCATTTTTTTGTTATGTGACTGAGCGCTGGTCACTAGCATATTTTACAAACATTTTCAGAAACTAGACTTTGGAAATCTCTATACATCAACCTAGAATGACAGTTGCAAGATCCGAGGAATTTTTCTTTCCTGGTAACACCTGAAAACATTTACACTGATATGCACTTGTAAAATATGTGTTACAATTCGAAAAATGAGTCACGTGCTCAATAAGCAAAGGTTTAAGTAATTGTTGGTTTGCATTTTCATTTTTCATTTTTATTTTCAAAACGATTTTTAGTTTTTCTCGAAAACAGCTTGTTTTTCGCGGTTTCAACATTTATAAATGAAAACACAGAAAAGTTGTTTTGCGTTATAAATTTTAACTCGTCGTCGAAAATGCGTTTTTTAAAATAACTGACCAAATGCGTTTTCCGCGTTTTCAAAAACGAAAAACGAAAAATGGGCTGAAAACGACAAACCAATCACGGCCTTACTTTTTCTAGTATTTTATATGAATAAGAATCTTGTGATCAAGTCGAGAAATTAGTTTCAATTCCCAACAAATATATAGGAATCTATTAGAATTGTTTTCAAAATGAGAGCAATACATATTGTGAAAATTTCCTTAGGCTATCCAGACCCTCCGCTATCCAAATCGATTTTAAGTGAAAATAAATCTTTTCAAGGATTCAATTCGTTAAGAAATTAAACCAATAAAAGTCAATTGATTGTTGTACTTAAGAAGGCTAATAAAAAATATTCCAAGAAAATTGTAAGTTCATCACAGACAAATGCATAGATATGTAATGTGAATATCCAAAAATATTTGAATTGGGCGAGATGTGGATTTCTTTCAAGAACTGAATTTTGTGAATTGGAAAAAGTGGCTCTAGATGGCATGTACAACAATATCACAAGCCGAGATGCATTGAAGACTGACAATTGAATTTGAAGGCTGCAATATGGCCATGGTGATGACGTGTTGTAGTTGTAAGCACGTGTTTTAAAGGCCTAAAACTTTATTATATGACAACGTCAAGTTTCAAATTTTTACGAGATTCGGTGAAATTTAGATGAAGTTTAGAAGTAAATAACGTAAAACATGAATAGAGTAAGGTCAATCTTCAACTCTAGACAAAACTTATGTGAACCTTTTAGAACAATGGTTGTATAACACAATTTTGAGGCGGGGAGTTTGGGAGCGAGTGGAATGTATTTTAAAATGTGGTTAGGCAAAAAGGTAAATTTTCATGCTTTTACGAACTTAAACAATGCTAGGCAAAGTTTAGATGAAGCTTAGACAAAAAAAGCGTATAGGCAGAAGCTTTTACAAACTTTTTAGAACAATGGTTGTAAAACAACGGTTTGGAGGCTGGGAAGTTTCGAGAGTAGGTGGGATGTGTTCTAAATAAGTGTAAATTGTGGTTATGCGATAAAGACCAAGTTTCAATGTTTTATGAGCCTGAACGAGGTTAGACGAAGTCTTGATGAAGCCTAGGCTTAAAAAACATAAAACATGATTAAAGTAAAGTAAAATTTTAACAAAAATGCAAACTTTTTAGAAACAATGATTGTAGAACACCATTTTGGAGGTAGGGAGTTTTGGGGAGCATGCGGAATATGTTCAAAATAGTGTAAAGCCTGGTTAAATAATAAGATAAAGTTTCAAGTTTTTACGAACCTAAATATGGCTAGGTGAAGTTATATATGAAATTTAGGGAGTGAATAGCCCAAATGGTCACTAAACTTTGCACCAGGTCCGCAAAAGGTCACTGAACTTTCAAAATTGTCTAACTCATCGCCGAACTCTGCGAAAAGTCCACCAAAGGTCATTGAACTTTCAAAATCGCTTCACTCATCACTGAACTTTGCATTTTGTAATCTCATTAGTCACTCAACTAACGGTTCATCCAAAAACTAATTGAATACTCACGTGGTTGGCTGATTTGGATGCCAAGTCAAACAAAAGAAGTACAGGTAGATTTTTATTTGAATTAAAACATGTTTTATAAAAATAAAAAATTGAAAATTCCATAAACTGTTGTAGCAACAGTCACCACCGTAAACATGTTTTATTTATTTTTATTATTATTTTTTTTAATAAAACATGCTTTAATTTAAATAAAAATTCGCGTGTACTTCTTTTGTTTGACTTGGCATCCACATCAGCCAGCCACATGAGTATTCGGTTAGTTTTTGGATGGACCTTTAGCTGAGTGGCTAATGAGATTACAAAATGCAAAGTTAAGTGATGAGTGAGACGATTTTGAAAGTTCAGTGACCTTTGGTGGACTTTTCGAAAAGTTTAGTGATGAGTTAGACAATTTTGAAAGTTCAGTGACCTTTTGCAGACCTGGTGCAAAGTTTAGTGACCATTTGGGCTATTCACTCGAAATTTAGGCATAAAAAGCTTAAGCTTGACTAGATTAAGGCCAAACTTCAAGCCTAAGCAAAGTTTATACTAACTTTGTAGAACATTGACTCTAAGAACATCATTTTGAAGGTAAGGAAGTTTTGAGGGGCATGGATGTTACATATTTTGAGCCCTTGTTAGAGTTTCATTCTCAAAAAACTTGTTTTTCTTCAAACAAAATGTTTTTTTATTTTTTAACCACAAATTTTCAAAAAAAATTGCTGTTACAAAATCTATTATCCGAAAACATTGGTTCAATCAAGGGCTGATTTTCTTTTTCTTTTATGTTATGGAAACCAATCAAAAGGATTAGATTTGCTATATTAATAAAAGATTGAAATGGTAATACCTAGTTTTGAAAAATTGGAGACCTACCCACACTTATCTTAAAGGTTAGGGACATCCACTACAATTTTCCCTAAATAATTAATATGGGTCCCAAAGGTTTAAATGACAAGTCGAGCTCTGAGCAGGGTGAGGAGAGAAGACATGTTCCAATCGACGAGCAGTAGTGGCTACAGCAATGGCTATCACCACGATGGTAGCAGTGGCGGCGGCGCTCACTCGGCCGAGAATCGGCTCCGGAGGGGTAGCCGCAGCAGGTCACGCAACCATGGTAGTGGATCCAATCTTAGGGTTTCTAATAGGATGATCCAACAGCAGCAGGAGGAGGAGACGGGTACGGATAAGGCTCCCGCTCCCTGTACGGACTTCGACATGGCATACTTTAACTCTTACGCTCACCTCGGTATTCACGAAGAAATGATTAAGGTACCTTCCGTCCCCATCTTTTTATGGTTTTATTTATTTATTATTTTTCAGCTTTGGATGTTTGAAGACATAGAGCTTTATTTCTTGTTTACGTTGAAGTTTAGTATCTTCGTTCTTTTGGATTAGTTTATTTGTCAGTGAATTTTTTTAACTGCTATTTGATGATTTGGTTCTCCACTTTGTATGGTTATGATTGTATTTGTGCTTTTGGGTGCCATGGCTTTTCTGACCTGGTGCTTTTCGCTTCTGTTATGAGGAACTGGTCATACCCAGCCTCGATGCCTATATAAGGAAGGAAGAAAATGAAGAAAGTTGAATTCTTTTTGATAACTGAAAGAATAAGAAAGAACTTCACAGGGTCTTTTAGATCGTTGTGGTTTAAAATATATTATATGTGGAAGTTTTTATTTTTTCTCTAATTTATTGGTGTTCTTCAATTAGACTTCATTGTTTTTTTCTTTTTGAATTTGGATAGGAATTAGGATTCGTCAAAAATTACATATTCACTTTAGAAATTCCAATAATATTGTAGGTATTTGGATACTAATTTTTATATAAATCTAACTCGTATTTGTCGCTGATATTTGATGGACAATGGTTCAGACTGATGAAAATTTATTGGAAAAACGAAATGTCATGTTTTCTAAGTTTATTTACTAATATTTATCAAGTGTATATTTAAACGTTTTGATTTCACAGTTGCAAGTTTAAATGCACTCAAATTTTACGTTAATGTTGGAATTATTTATTTTATTTCACCTAAAATTAATGTGATTGATTTGAGATAATCAGTAAATTTTGAAAGTTCTATTTGTTCACTATGTAATTAGCCTCCGTTTGGCTCCCATTAAATTCCATTTCATTTTTTTCTCTCCTATTTTCAATCATACAATTTTTTATAAAATAATATTGCAATTAAATCGAAAACTTTTCCTTCCTTTCCAAAAAAAAAAATAAATAAATAAAAAAAAATCAAATCGTATTACTCCCATTTTCATTTAAAAAAATGGGGGGCAAACCGGGGCTTAAAGAGGACTTACGGATATTTTGTTGATATTGTGTGCTAAATTGTAACTTAGGTAGTAAAGAAGACAAAAGAAAACTACAGTAATATAGGAGACTGGATTGCTATAGTAGGTGAAGATGGTAGATCTCTCAACTTGGGGTGAGTTGGAGTGGTGCTATGGTGATGAAATAAATTAATTTCAATTAGATGAAATATGGTTCATTAATTTTTGTGTTCTGTTGATGCTGATTGAATGGTAATTTTATGTCAATCTTGAATGAGCATATTATTCAGGTTTCTAAATTGAAAACACTAGTGAATGCAATTAATCCCTTAAAACAAGCAAGCACGATAGACTCCTATCAAGTCTACATACTCTAGAAGGACCCAGAAGAATGGAGAAACAGATTTAGTTAGACACATTTAGTTAGGGGGTGGGGTATTTTGGGGAATACGGTGAGATAGGATGCCTATAAATGTAAGAAGGGGGGATCTGGAAAGTCATGCATTCAATGATTAGTTTGTGGAGTTAGTGGAGAGTGATCAAGGCCTCTTGAATGCCTTGGAGTGCCTCAGTTCAATTACAGTGTTCATCATTCTGCAAATCAATAAAGAATACATTTCATATACAATCTACTATTTGAATCCTATACTAATATTCTAGTTACACAGATTGAGCATCTAATCAATTCCATAGCTCATCAGTATTGCAGGGTACATAGAGCAGTAGTCGTGCCTCAATCCCAGAAACATTAATAGCATTTTCGAGGTTCCTATCAAAACCAGTTGGAGAAGCAGCCATATTCAACAAGGACTTAATCGTATGGATATGTAAAATACAGGATTTCCAATCCTAGCAGGAAAGGGAGGGAACCACAACCATATCAATCCTAACAAAATGGTATCAGAGCATCGGCACTAGGATGTTACAATTGATGAAGAGAAGCAATTAGAAGATCATGTTAATAATTTGGAAGGATTGAACAAATGAATTCAGAGTTACAAGGAAGAACATAGGCCATAAAATTGGAGTTCCAAAGAGGTATGGCAGTAATGATGGAGAAACATGGCATTATGATGCATGAAGGTAAAGGACAAGAACTGGACAAGAAGGAAAAGGGATGGGCAGCTACCTTACCTACCTTACCTGATTCGGCCATCATTTCTGAAATATTCCTAAAATCAGAGGAATTTGGAGTTAATAATGACAACTGGAACTGCCGTGCAGAAGCAGGAAAGGTGGAGACCCGAAACCTGGGACCGGATAGATTCATTGAAATCATATCAATGTCTTTGTCGGTCATTCCAAAAGTCGAGGTGGAAGGGACGGCTTTAAGTGAGTTGATTGAGAAAAAGAAAAGGGAAGAGAACTATTTTAACGGGGTTATATGCCCATGGATTGGATCTTGGAGAAGGCCCAAATGAGTTACGGTTCAAATAGAGGTAAATTGCCTTTTACCAACCCAACAAATTATAGCCCGCATCTCTACCCATATCAACGCATATCCAACACTTACACCACAAATCCTTTAACTCTCGTCGCTACAAAAGTAGTGACCACCAGGCGTTCGGCTTCTGTAGCGTGGGGTGCACCGTCACTCACGAAATTGGCTGACGTAGAGCTGCTGCAAAAGAGGGAAAAGGGTCTGCATTATGGGTGTGATGAAAAATATAGCTCGGGTACTTGGTGCAAAAATAGTGAGCTCTAGGTACATGTACGGGTCATTAAGCATGCCAAAATGATTTACAGCCCGAACAAAAATGGAAAAAAAAAAATTCCCTAACCTAAACTCTTCTATAGATGCAACTGGTTATGGAATTTGTATGGATAAAATTTTACTCGTAGATGGACGATTAGCTATAAAGGCTAACGACTACAACAAGCTCACTTAAAAAAGGCTAACAACTGCAACAAGCTTACTTAAAAAATGGTTCAACTAAATGAAAATTCGAATTTTGAAGTTGAACACACCTGCACCTTGAGGACAAGGTGGATTTCAGGACAGCGGGTCATGATAGATGTCTAATCAAATTGCAACCAAGTGATCAACTATTCTAGTGTGCTCTCTTTGAAAGTTTGAAAGAAGGGGCGCTTTCGGTTCTGTCGGTGTTTGAAACAATTTTGTCAATAGTTAGTTAGCAAAAAGGTAATGGTAATAGAAAGCTAGTAGATTGTTTATAAATGTAATAAGGGAGAGCTGGGATTTTCATTCGTGCAATGAGATATTGAGAAATAACAGTGAAGAGATCGGGCCTTCGAATAGCCTGAGATTTGTTATTTACATTTCCATTTATCGTTGAATAACAAATACATTTCTCAATTGACATTCTTCATTTCCAGAAAGCCTTTACTAATTCACATCAGCTCTATTGCATTTTCCTATAGTTCTAGTACTAATACTTCATTGTTGGCTCCAATAGATTCACATATTAGTGTCTACAACAACTAAGGAGTTGATCAATTTGCCAAACACAGTCAAGTACCTAACAAAATAAGCCATAAAATTTGGAAGAACCCAAACTTATATAAACCACACAAAGGGAGCCCATACTTCCGATGTGGGACAAACCACCACGCTTTCGACCTCGTGCCCACGAAGTTAGGTTCCATTGAGTGGTATCAAGACCAGTCGCAGATTACCTCCAACGAATACCTGCGTTTTCATTGGTCGACTTCGATTTTCTACTTTCTCAGACCCCTCATGGTGAATCCTTACAGCTGTACTTTCTCCTTCCACTTTGGATTTTAATGGAATCTTAGAATCAACCGTGCTTTTAGTCGGATTGATTACGAGTTCTTTTTTCTTCCTCTCCTCTTCTTGTCCATCCAATTTTTTTATCATTAAATCCAACTTCTCCTTCATTGATGTTATGACAGAATGAAATTCATATTTCATGGACTCCATATCTTTCTGTAGCTGTTATTGTTGTCCATCCATCCTTGTCTCCAATTTATCAGCTCGATATTATCTATTGATTTTGATAGGAACCTGGAAGATACTTTAAATTTTTCTGGGATTGAGGCATGACTGTTGCTCTATGTACCCTACAAAACTGATGAGCCATGGAATTGATTAGGTGCTCAATCTGTGTAACTAGAATATTAGTATAGGATTGAAGAAGTAGACTGTATAAGAAATGTATTCTTTATTGATTTGCAGGAAAATGAACACTGTAATTGAACTGATGAAATGAAACAGAAATTGAAAGGCACTCCAAGGCATTCGAGGGGCCTTAATCTCTCTCCACTAACTACACAAACTAATCGCTAAATGCATGCCTTCCTAGATCCCCCTTCTTACATTTATAGGCGTCCTATCTCACCATGTTTCCCACAATACCTCTGCCCCTAACTGTGTGTCTAACCGAATCTACTTATCCATTCTTCTGGGTCTTTTTTGAGTATGTAGACTTGATGGGATTCTATCAAAGCATCCTGCTGCAAGTACAGTGAGTTGTCACGCACTTTGTCCGTCCCATTGTAGAGGTTATGGGAAGAGAGACGGAGAGAAAAATGAGGAAAAGAGATGGTATTTGGTGGAGCACTGAAAGGTGAATAGGCTTGCTTCTCTCTCTATCTGCATGTGGGTGTGATGTGTGCACATGCATCATGATAGCAGAGTAAAAGTTGAGTTCATGGAGAAGAGACACGAGGGAGAGAGTTTTATAGAGAGAAGTACTGGAGGAATTGGTGACTGGAGGAGTAAAAATGGTGACATAAGTTTTCTCCTCTCTCTTCCTTCCAGGTGATTGTCTATATGTATGCACATCATAAATATAAAAATACATACATATAGGTGTGCGATTGTGCAGATTATACATGTATATCCTGTAGGTATAGTAGAGAACTATGTTTTGTGCTAAGATTGTAAATAAAAAACCCATGAAGCCTACCAAGGGGTGTCTCCTCAAAATTTTAACAAATTGCAGTGATGTATACTTTTACTTGAAGGCTTTGTCTAATTACACTCGCAACATTTAGTTTGTACGCTATTGTTGGTACCTTATTTGACGGCAATATGAAGAAAATACTATTTTCTACAGATAACCTAATCGTTTGTGCTAAAGTTCAATTTGTTAAGATGGATTTGGAAAACACAAGGGTGATTCCGATGGTTGTCTGTTTTTCAGATTGTGGGAGTTGAATGATGATATCGTTTTTGATATATACAGGATCGTGCGCGTACGGAAAGTTACAGGAATGCAATTTTCCAGCATCAAGATCGTATCGCAGGAAAAGTAAGCAGTTGTCAATTATCATATGTCCCATAGTTGTTTCAAACTGTCAGAGGATTACGTCATCATACATGACAAATGACAAGTTATTTTCTACGAATGCTAGTAATAATTAGATCGTGGAATTTTTTTTTATGTAACTTCTATCTCTCCTCTTGATTGGCTAATATGTGCCTTTCTTGATGATGAATATTTATGCTCGTATTTCAGGTAGTGGTAGATGTTGGTTGTGGCACTGGCATTCTTTCAATATTTTGTGCTCAGGCTGGTGCAAAACGAGTAAGAAGCTCTATGCTTTGTTCTTTCAATTCAGCCAGTGGGTAACTGACATTTATAGAAATATGTATTTATTTTAGTGAACATTTTTCCTGAGGAAAGAATCAAAAGCAGCATAATTAATTTGTCTTCCCCTTTTCTTGTGTTTCCAGAGGAACTCACTCATCAAACCTTTAAAATGATTTTGAAAAATACATACAATATAACACCAGTAAAATGTAAACTATTATGAGCTGTACTATACTAATACTCTCTTTTCTTTCTTAAGGTTTACTATTTTCAAGTAGATCATGATAAAAGTACACATATATGCGATGAAGATGTGATAATTACTTAGATTATTATTATTGTAAGAAAAATCTCAAGTTTTTCTGAAGCAGGTCCCTTACCGTATTAATGGATGATGATGATTATAAGCTGTCTATAATATATTATATATTATATCAAGTGAAAATCATTTTTTTGATGATTCTGACTAGTTCAATTATACCTTACTTTTCATTTTTCAATATGTATTTAATTTATTCAACAATTTAGTTACCATCAATGTATATGTACATTTGACATATTCATTTCATCTGTGTGCTTTTATTAATATATGAATTCCATATTATTAAGCCCCCGTTTGGCCCTCATTATTAGGAGTAGTATTTTTTTTGAGAATGTGTGGTTAAAAAATTAGAAAATTTATTAGATTTACGTGTAATATTATTTTATAAAAGATTGTGTGATTGAAAATAAGAGAAAAAATTATAATGTGAAATAATGGGGGCCAAACGGGGGCTAATTCTCAATTAATTAACATTCATATTCATTAAATTAATATTAATCTTCATTTATGCATTTCAGTGATATTAATTCTAATTATAAGTTAATTAAAATTTCGCATTCAAGAATGCATTTTATTATTCACTTCCATGTAAGTTAATTAACATCTAATTTCACTTAATTGGAATTAAATATCACATCAAGTGAGAATAATTTTTTGAATGATTTTAGCCTTATTAAAATTAAATTATTTCAATAATATCATACTTTTTGTTTCTAATATATATTTAATTAATTTATTTATTATGATTATTTTTGCATTATTTCTGTTCACCAGTGAGGCTTAGAATGGTCGGCTTCTTCAATTATTTTATTTTCTGCCCTAGTCGTCAAACATCTTGTTATTTACTGATTTCCATCTATCGCGTGTCATATTATTCATTTGCTATCAGGCCTGTTTCTTAGTTGAATGACTTCGGTTAAATCAGATATGAATTGTTGGTGTTTGGGATTGAAATATTCCCAAGGGATTGTAATGTTGATCGTGTAGGTTCTGACAGATATAGTAGTCGTGATGGTTTTATCTTTGTGGTTGCTGTCTGTGCACAAGACAACTTCAGAGAACTCCTAATTTCTCCTATAAGCTATATATTATTAGCTTCACTTTCCTTTTTTCTGCAGACTTATTTTGGTTTTATATTTCCAATAATTGTGTTTTACATAAATAAGTTTGACCTGCATCTTCTTTGCCACCAGGTGTATGCAGTGGATGCCAGTAATATTGCAGTTCAGGTACTTTGTTGGATTAATTTTAAATTGTTACTGGCTGAATATGGTGCATGATACCTTGTTGTTGAACATCAATGGTGTCATTACATTCAAGATTTAAAATGCCTCATTACTGATTTACAAGCTTAATTGGGTTTGGGAAATGTTCTTACCCCTTCATAGTTTGTTGGCCTAAAGGTATAAACCAACGAAATCAATATATATTCCATTTTGGCGATCTAAGTTAACAAATTCACCTAGTATATTGTTTGAACTCACTTGTGACTTCATGAACTGGTTTAAAATATAAAATGACGAGTCCCCTCTTGGTCTTGATGTGCAGACATGTTACGGTATCAAGTTTTACAATCTACCTCATGCCGATCTCACCTTGCCTTATTACACAATATCTCCCTTTGACTAGTTAATTAAAAGTTAAAACTCTTCCTAATTTATAATATTCCATGATGATACTAAAACCTAGGAGCATTATTGGCATTAATTGTAAAAGGATGCATCACCCCTCCAGCATGTGATGTGGCACTGAATTGGTTATTCTTTCATCAACAAATGCTCATGCCATTTTCTAGTCTGTTATTCATTTTGTTGGTTGTTTCGTCCTTCAGTTTTTGCTGAGTGTATGGTATCCCATGGCTAGACTCTTGTACTAAATGGAAAATAGGTCACTGCTATTTTTGAGTTGTGCTTTTGTTGAAATACTCTTTTCCTCCTTTTTGCTCTGTATCCTCTTGCTAGCTGAGCGAAGAAGGCTCATGCCATTGACGATATAATCACTGATCTAAGCATGATAATCCTTTCTGGGGATGCACAATAGTTTTCTGAGAATTCTAGTGTTGTTTGGTCAGATTTCAATGTTGTCTGCAACAACAGTTACATCAAACATCGAGTCCCTTTGACCATGGTTTTCTTGGAGATCCTCTTCGAATTAGGCTGAGCTCCAAAAGAATAGTGGTAATACACCCTTTCTCACTTATACAACCTGGAAAAGAGGAGCTCCTCAACTGTCAGTCTCAGTCTCGAGTGAAACTTGCACTCTCCCAACCCTGGAAGGCATGCTGCTTAAATATTTGGCTTTGATGAAATAAAAACTTGACGGGCTGAAGGCAGCTGGTACCCATCTTAGAGGAAGAAATCATAAGCTACCCTTGGTGGACTTCCAAGGGAGGATGAATCGGTTATTACTGTTATGGGCCTAATTATAGGGTAATTATAGATTCCTAATTATGTAGTCTCCTAATATAGATCTCTAAAATTGTGTGTGTGTGTGTGTGTATATACATATATATATATTTATATATATTTATATATATATATGTATCGTCTTCTTTCTATGAAAATAAGGAAAATTTTTTTTTTCTTCCTTAAATTGTTACATGGTATCAGAGCTTCCCTATTTTCTTTGCTGAATCTTTGGGCCTCGGCACTTTTGTGGTAGACTTTCGGGGTTGCTTCTTCTTCGTGGTTGAAGATCAATAACGGTAAGTGGCTGGAATTGTTCGGCAACTCGTCTTCAGTATCTGTGGAGGCCGAAATCTTTTGGAGACGACTTTCGTGATTTTCGACGTCCAGAAACTACCCAGCAACACTCTGACTTGAATTGGCTGCAAGAGAGCTTGAATTTTCTGATTGTGAATTGGATGGTAATTCTCAATGGCTTCTGGTGTTTGGTTTTCATTGGGAGTGTCGAGTAGTCTTCTCTCCTGGATTGGGAGCATCGTGGGTGTATTTGGAGTTGCTAGGTTAAGTATATCTGGGCCATTATTTTGCTGATTATTGGGCTGACTGTTGGATTGAATTATTTGGGTTATTTAATTAGAATTTTGGCAACCAATTAGAACTCTTGGGCTGGTCATTTGGGCTTTGATATTTGGACTATCATTTTGCCATAGTTTTGGTAATTTTTGGGCTGCATATTAATTTTCTTTTAGGCCTAAGAATTGGGCTTGGGCTAATTCGTTGGTTTTATTACCGTTATTCGATTGGATTTTGTTTGATTTTGGGTCTACTGAGTTGGGCTTTTATTTGTTAGGTTTTAATGAGTTGGGCTTTTATTTGTTGGGTTTTAATTTGGTATTTGGAGCTCGTGTTTTATTCCTATGGCCGAGCAAAAGAATTTTGCTGTGATTGATGTCATTCCAGTGATGTCCAAAATCACGGAATATAAGTTGGTTGGTCCGAATTATTTAGATTGGAGTAAGACAATTAGGATTTATCTGCGAAGTATTTCCATGGACAATCATCTTACTGAATTGATGTCATTCCAGTGATGTCCAAAATCACGGAATATAAGTTGGTTGGTTCGAATTATTTAGATTGGAGTAAGACAATTAGGATTTATCTGCGAAGTATTTCCATGGACAATCATCTTACTGAAAATCCACCAAAGGATAATAATCATGCATGGCTATGAGATGATTGCCGATTATTTTTACAAATCCGCAATTCCATTGACACTTAATCACTGCGAGTATGTTAAGGAATTGGTGGAATATTTGGAATTTCTATACTCTAGGAAAGGGAATATGTCGCGTATTTATGAAGTTTGTAAGGGTTTTTACCGTGTTGAACAACAAGATCAGTCTCTTCAGGCTTATTTTATGAATTTCAAAAAGATCTACGAAGAATTGAATGTTTTGCTACCTTTTAGTCCGGATGTGAAAGTTCAATAAGCTCAGTGGGAGCAAATGGCTGTGATGAATTTTCTGGCTGGTTAATTCTCAGTTCGAAACTGCTAAATCCTAGATTCTTTCCAATGCGGAGATTTCATCGCTGCAAAAATCCTTTACTAGAGTACTTCGCATAGATACTAGTGCTCCTATTGCAGCAACACCTGCTCAGCCTTCTAGTGCTCTCATCAGTCGTAATAGTAGAGGTAATAAAAGAGGTGGGGGTGTAGGTAGTCGGGTCAATCGAAGTCAGAATGAAGGGGGAGTTGTATGATACTATTGTCATGAGCCGGGGTCATACCAAATACTCGTGCTGAAAACTGCAAAATAAATCTCAGAGGTCTCACTCATCCCACGTTGCAGCTATTACTACTACACCCATCTCTTCTTCTGCGGAGACCATTACACTTTCTACAGATGAATTTGCCAAATTCACTCAGTACCAAGAAGCATTAAAGAATTCATTTCATCCTATTTCTGACATTGCTGAGACAGGTAAACCTAATACATAACAGTGTAACAATTTAAGGAAGAAAATATATAACGATACACATATATATACAATATTAGAGATCTATATTAGGAAATTATATAAATTAGGAATCTATAATTACCCTATAATTAGGCCCATAACACTCCCTCTCAAGTTGGAGCATAGATATTAATGATGCCCAACTTGTTACAAATATAATTCACTCGGATCCCATTTAGAGCCTTTGTGAAAATGTCTCCTAGTTATTCTCCAGTCTTCACATATTCTGTAGATATTAAATTTTGCTGTACCTTCTCACGAACGAAATGACAGTCAATCTCAATGTGCTTAGTTCGCTCATGAAACACAGGATTAGAAGCAATAGGAAGAGCAACTTGATTGTCACACCACAACTTTGCTGGCATTGAAGCCTCAAGACCAACTTCAGTTAAGAGCTGATATATCCATATTATCTCACACACAGATTGTGCCATAGCTCCGTATTCTGATTCTACACTAGATCGGGACACAACATTTTGCTTCTTACTTTTCGATGAGATTAAATTTCCTCCAACAAAAACACAGTAGCCAGGAGTGGATCTTCGATCAATCTTGGAACCTGCCCAATCTGCATCTGAGAAGCATTCGATGTGGGTATGTCCATAATTTTTGTACAGTATTTCACGTCTAGGAGCTCCCCTTAAATAACACAGGATTTGCTCTAAAGCTATCCAATGGTGGACTGTTGGGGAAGACATGAATTGACTTACAATACTGACAGAATCTCACTACTTGATGTATGATATTACACTAGTTTTGGTCAAAAGCTATAGCTTATGGCACTAATGTACTCCCCCCTATATTACCTAGAATCAAGCCCAAAAATTCACCTCAAGCTCACTCCCTTTGGGCCCACCCCATTTAAAGCCTGCCACCAACAGGAATGCTCCAGCATCGAGTCAAACACGGGAACTCTAGTTCTGATACCAACTGATTTAGGGAATTGCTACCATTATGTATAAAATCTACAAGACTACAACTCATGGCACTAATGCAATCCACTGTATATTACCCTAGGAATTAACCTCAAGTCCATTCCCTTTGGAGCCACCTATTTCAAGCATGTTCCTGCATTACTTAAAATAATGATCTATTGGTAGGGGTTTGGCCAGCTAGTTATACATGAAAGGAGGAAGCAACGATTTTACCCGACTTAAAAACTAGAACTAAATTATGCCATTGCCAATACTGTCACAAAGAACGACAAAAGAAAATAGATAATCAATCCTAAGATTCCAGGGGTTATAATCGCGTCTCTTTATAAAAACATGATACTCAAAATCTACATATCTTTATTTTTTGAGATGTCTGCACTGTGCTACTTTGATATAATTCTCATATTCAAAACCCTTGACAAGGGACTTGACGGTGTAAAAATCTCTGAAGGACAATGATGCAGGATGAGAAATTTTGTACTAGTTAAAGGATACAACTTCATCATTTTATTGGGTGTCAAAATTATGTCTTTGTCATCAATATGCCACTCAAAAGCTTATATTCTCTCTACTAAAGGACAATATGATCTAGTCCATTCTGAATAAAACATTTGTAATATGGACCAAAACACAAAACATAGCCATAGAAATACTACATACATACATATTAGCCACATAAACATAAAGTACAACTTACTGTTCATTGGACAATTTGAAAATGATAGAAGGGTTGATTGTCGGAGAGAGATCTTTAAGCCGCTTGTGTGGTTGAGTATTCATGTGTAACTGTGTAAGTGTACAAGTATATTTAGTATCAAAAGGACGAGAGGAGTAAAGGTGGAGAGATAAGTGATGGAGTTAGAGAAGAAGAGTGTGTAAATAGTTGGTGAGGGGTAGTCTAGTGTTGGGTTTATCTCCTAATTATAGTGTAAATTCTTGGACTATGTGTAGAAAAGTAAAAGGAACTAGCTAGATATTAGGCATGTTCAATGCATAAATGGTGTATTGTCGTGAAAATGGTTAAATCAATACCTTTAATCACGTGGTCAAATCAATTGACTTGGCTTAAAACTTGGTGTAAATAATGTTTGTGGTCAAATCAATTACATTGACTTGAATTGTTGTGTGAATAATGCATGTGGTCAATAAAACATCTTTAAACAAGACCAATTGGCATATTTACATATGTTTACAAATGATTTCATCTAACTTCCAAAATAACTCTCCATTTCGATTCTTAAACCATTGGCCAATAACCAATAAGGTCATTAGACTTTAATGATAACGCACTTAAGTCCTAAATTTAAATCTAACTAGTAGTAAAAATTCGAGATATTATAGCACCCTCATGAGAAGTTTTTGTAAGAGCAAACATAATGAATTTCTATGCTTTTATCTGCTCTGAAAGAAAATCAGAAATTTGGAATCAGGGATTAGGTAGCTGGTAGTTTAATGTTCAAGGATATGCCTTTTGGGACTTCATAATAGCTCATTCTAAATGTTATAAGTTGAGTTTTTCATGTAGGCGGTCAAGAGACGATGGGTCATGGTTGTTGAAAGTTGAGTAGATAGATGAGGAAATTGAAGGTCTTGATGTTTGATCCCATTCAAACAATGACATCAGTCTTTGAAAAGGAAGCTAAACTGGTCCATGCCATGGTTGAATTATGGAATGTATGGGAAATTCTTGAATTATGCTAGAAGATGTTAATGTTTTCATTTGTAGACTAGAGGCTAATTAGAGCAGATTTTGTAGTAGATTCATATAGCGACAGATCTTAGAAATCACTCTTAGAAAAAATAGGAGTCATTCAATCTAAACCTTTTGGCTTGAGACACAATATTGCACCTTTCTTCCCTAAATGGAAGTGAAAAATCTGATAGAATTTTCTTTCGATACCTCTCTATTTTCTCTCCAACTTTTTGTTCGTTTTTATTGTTTCATCACAAAAGAAAATTCTAATTATAAGTAGTCTAATAGATGTTTTTCTTTTGAAATATTATGTCAGGCAAATGAAGTTGTAAAGGCAAACAACTTATCTGATAGAGTCATTGTTTTGCATGGGCGTGTTGAGGTAAACCTCTTCTCTAAACATGCTGACACCTGTCATTTCTTATGCATTCGTGATTTCATTTTTTCCATGGTTAATGTTATTTGAACAGGAAACAAAATCTGTTATGTTAGGTTGTGTTCAGTTTCAACTAACTGCCTGTTATTTTTATTTATCATCAGATGTAATAGTTTCCACAATTTAGTCAGATCATTCTAATGCAGAAGCGTATAATTTGTTAACCAACAAGAAGATTAAGAAAAGAAGGGGAGGTTCCAAAGAAGAGAACAATTGAAGGCAAAAGAAGATATCAATTTATTCCTACAATCAAGGGTTATGAATTATATTGAACAAGTCCTCTATTTATAGGGGAAGAAACGAGCAAGAGCCTAGAATTAGAAGAATTTCTAATAAACTAGAATCTTATCGAAATATAATAACTAATCTAATCTAAATAAATATTTTCTAAATCAAACTCTATTTTAAAATCTATCTTTATCTTTATCTCTATTTTGATCTTCATCATTTCTTCCCCGTTGAGAGAACTCAACTCTAAACTAGAACTTCATATTCTAAGGAGGCTGGTCTTTTGTCTTAACCAAATGTCCATATTTACTCGACACCAACATATATCTGAACTCTTGCCAATGGGGGTGATCTTTACAATGAACTAAATGCTTTTACTGATCAATTGATGACAAGCAAACAGACGTAAGCTATTTTTTATTTTTTTAAAATTGAAGCTAAGGGTTTGTTTGAGCCCTATTTTTTGGCAGAATAGGTTTTGTAAACTTCATTTTTTGAAATATGGGGTTAAAATGTAAGGAATATTTTTAGATTTACATGTAAAATTATTATATTGAGAAAATGTGTAATTGAAAATGAGTTTAAAAAAAAGTGAGTTTTTAAAGAATGTGACTCAAACAAGGGGCTAAAAAACAACTATAGATGAACAAATTGTTGCAATTTTTTTGAGGCGTTGTTTTAGCCCCATTTTGAGAGAGATGCATTTTTGAATGGTGCTTTTCGAAAAATGTGTGGTTAAAAATAAAAATAAAAATAAATCGATTTTCTTGTAATATTATTTTATTTGGAGAATGTATGATTGAAAATGAATTTTGAAAAAAAAAAAGTGAATTTTCAACAAAATGGGGCTCAAACAACCCTTGAATTTTTTATTATTTATTTATTTATTTCAACTAACTAAAAAGAGGCAAAAACTGAGCCCTTGATTGCCGTCGGTACGAATTCTTCATGTTCTTCTGTTGTTCTAAGGTTTTTGTGCGTGAATGTGGTTATAGAGTTTTGGATGGGTGATGGAAGGCTATGTATGGTGTGTATATTGAATGGATGAAAAACGGTTGGTGGATTTTTGGATTTGAGAAGGTGTAGGCCAAAGGATAATGAGTTGTTCTGACACCAAATTGATGCATGAGCATAATTTATTAACGAACAAGAAGATTAAGAAAAGAAAGGGGTGCAAAGAAGAGAAAAATTGGGACAAAGGAAGACATAGATTTATTCATCTTTATCTCTATCTTTATCTCCATGAAGTTCAGTTCGTAATATTCCAATTAATAAGTGCAGAGACACTAGTGTAGGTCATATCAGCATTAAATTAGACACAAGCATTGATGCAAAGGGAATTCTTTACTCTTCACTTGTGTCAGAGCACCACTTACACTAGTTCTAGCCATGGAGGACCAGCCTCAAATAACCAAGTGCTTTTTCTGTTGCTAAAAAACAGAAGGAAAGCGTTACTTTTGCTTTTTTGTTTTGGGGATAAATGAATCATAACATGCCTTACCTTTGAGAGTAAAAGCTTCATTTGAAATTTCTCCTTGAATCATGCCAGCCTAATCCGTTTTGTTGGGTTATCTATTATGGATAGTTGAAAATATAATATAAAGAACAGAAGATAACTAACTAAACTGAATGCATCTTGAGAATGTTTGTTAGAAGCTATTGTTGGTTATCAGAGAGTTCTTATTTCTTGTTACTTCAACGAGTAATAACAAAACCTATTAAGGAAAACTATATTGCAAATGCACCAATGGAGTTAGTTAATAAGGATCACACGGTAAATAGAACTTAAAGTCAAGCCAGAGTTGAAGAACTATGAGAATCAGTTCAGTCTTTAGGCATTACTCTTGTAGATCTCATGCATCACCTTATTATAACCTGCTTGAGTTTTATTTTATGGTTCTGGCGGCGTATTCTCAATGAATTTTTACTTCTGTTTTGAGAGTTATTTCTTTTAGAGGCGAAAGAAAAAAGAGCTGAAGTTACTTCGGTAAATTTTTTTTACTTTCTATTACTATCCATTTTCTTTTCTGTTTTTAATTTCTATAGTTATATTAATTATATAATAAGCGTCTTTTTTAACTTAAAAAATGTGAACAGATGGCAAGGTATGGTATATCAACATGTTTCATTTAAAGTGAAAAAAGGGAAAACTAAGAAATAATTTGTTATAAGAGCCTGTTGTTGTTATTTGTATAGAACTAAATGAGTTGAAGCAATAAGAGGTTGTTGGTACATACAAATAAAAACTAAATGTCTTTAAAGAAATGTATGGCATACGAGTGACCTAGATTCCTTGTGGAAAAATTGCTTTGTATTTTCTTGGAATAAATTATTGTTCTTTGCTGTCTGGTACTAAAAATGTTAAGCATTTTGTTTTTGAAGTTGTGTGTTTGACAGAAGTAATGGTGATCATTTGTTTGTTTCTGGTTTTGTTTTGAACCTTACACTAGTTCTTGAATAATTTGTCTGCTGCTTATAAATAAAGGATAAAAGTAGCAAGTCACACTCTGGTTATTGCAGGATGTTGAAATTGATGATGAAGTTGATGTTATAGTTTCAGAATGGATGGGTTACATGCTTCTCTATGAGGTGATAGTTAGTATCTTGCATTTATAAATCTAAGTTTGCATGCCTATACAAATGTATGTAATGGATTTTTGAACTATACTCTGAATTGTATGTCTGTCTGGAGGTTCCAGTTTTCCTCTTTTTTAGTGTTGACATGGAACTTGCTTGCTCTTCCATGTTAGAGTATGCTGGGGAGTGTCATTACTGCCCGAGAACGCTGGTTGAAACCCGGGGGTCTTATTCTTCCATCAACTGCTACGGTATTGATAGCGTTTCTTCTCACCTAATGCGTCTGTGTGAATTGTCAAGCAACGATGGCAGCACGCTGCAACATATTTAAGGAACTAATGTCAATTTTATGTTACTGATTCAGCAATAGTTGGCCATAGGCTTTGGTCTTTTAATTTTTGCTTCAGCTTGTACATAACTGCTAGTTGACCAATCTGTCAACAATAATAATAGAAATTGGTCCACTGGAAACAAACATGGTGTTTACTGCTATTGTCATATGTGAATATAATGATTGCCTTAGTTTCTGGTCCATATCATCCAAATACTAGCTTTGGCATATTGTAGGGCCCGATCATTGGGCATAATGCTGTTTTATTCTCTACCTTTGCAGCTGTACATGGCACCTGTCACCCATCCAGACCGATATAGTGAAAGCGTCGACTTTTGGCGCAATGTATATGGAATTGATAGTGAGTATATATATTAAGATTTATGCTCCTATCAATATTTTCAACAACTATATACTAGATGTCTAGCACACAAGTTTTTAAATTTTTTGTATTTTGAAATAAATGTGATTTTGAAGTCTATAAATCTCTTGGTTTCATTGGTTGAGTCCAGCTCAGGTTAAGATTAGCCTGATTTGCACATCAGTGTAGTGTCTTCCTGTATGATAAAGATTTGTTTTTGACTCATAATCTGTTACTCCTGGATATCCCTTGTAAATGTCTTTTCACCTTTTATGCTGTAGGATTAGGCGAGTTGACAATTGATCATGGATTGCATATAATTTTCAAAATCGACTAGAACAAAAATCTAACATATTATAAGGTGCTCTATTTTATTTCGTTCCACCAGGGTGAAACAAAGTCATTCAAATGGTTCGTGGAACTCAATTATGTTTTTCCAAGAAGCACATAAGTATTGCTGCTAGGAAACACAGAATTATGCTTTAAGAGTTTCACTGGCCTTGTTTTGAGACCTAGTTAAACATCATCGGCGTGGATTGATGTATGTATTGTTATTTAAGTTTTCAATTTTAGCCGATTAATTTTTCTGGTTAAAGACTTGTTCAAAAGGATTCCTTGAGGTTACCAATTTATCTCTCTTTTTAGTATGCTATATTTGTGCTATGTTCTCTGAGAGTTCTCATCCGATATGTTAGTTGTTCATGAAATACTTTCCCATTCTAGACTATGCTGCTGTGTACACTAGGGTTTCTGGGGGAAATGATGTATTACGTATTGGATTATGGCGATTCTGGAACAGGAATGCACAAAAATGTAGCAGTGAAGAGTGACAAGGAGAAAATTGGAAGTTCTATGGGAACTGGATGTTAGGGCGGTTGAGTTGACATTGTGGTAAAGAAGTATCGCACTGTCTCCAACGAGAGTTAAACAGGAGTAGTTACACACTAAAGCAGATATAGCTGCTTCCTCCGTGTTTGTTTAAAAGTTGTTGAACTGCTTTCCGGAGGACTGTCTATGCGTAGGAACCTAGGATCAACCAAGACATTTATTCTCATGTGCTTGATTTTCTCTCTCCTTTTCCTCTTCCCTTTTTTTCTGTAGTTTCATTGTAAAGTTAATCAATTCCTTGTTCTGTAGAAATTGCCTCAATTTTGTCCCAGATATGTTTTATAATCAATCAAATAAAATATAATTATGATACGTTTAGGACGTTTTATAATCACCATGCATTAGAGAGGATACCGTAGGTGGAAACGCTTATGTGGCTATGAGAATCATGTGAACATGGGGAGATTTGTAATTTGCCAAATCATCAAAGCATCAAACGAAATTTAAATCTCAAGAAATTAATATAAAAGATTGAGGTCTAGTTTGATTGGTGTTTCTATTTTACCCCTCATCTAGGATAATTTAACTATGATTGGAACTAGTAGAGAGGGGGAGGTCTTTACTACTTGAAGTTGGAGTTGTAATTAGGCCCCATTAAAATTATAATCCCTTTTTTGCTCTTCTTATCAACCGCACATTCTCCAATAAAATAATATTGCACGTAAACCTAGAGCTTTTTCTTCTTTTTTAACGACAAATTCTTCAAAAAACACTATTCAAAATATTATAATCTCAAATGATAGGAGAATCCATTTTCAAGTAGTGGCAATTCTACATTCTATGTATCACCGTCCAACTTGGGCATGTTTGATATAGATGCACCAACTTAAGGCGGAGAGTTGGAATGGAAAGATCATATTTAGGAATTATTTAACTAAAAAATTGATAAATATTTAAGTTGAATAAAAAAATTATTTTAACCACGTATTTCATCAACTTTTATTAAGATCTTCTAGAAATCCGATTTTCAGCAAAATCAAATAGGGGTATAAAGTTGGACTATTCTTTTATGTAGGATTCACTCTCATGAGTATTTAACGTTCAATAATACATTCAACCTAAGTTCTAAGTCTGAGTTGTCAGTTTTCAGTGCTTACTTTCACGTCAAAGTTGGTCTGGAAATATAAATAGTACATTTAAATGTTGCCTTTGCTCATTTAATTATCAGCTGACTTTTCATGGATCTTTTCTCTTTTGATTGCTAAGGTTGGGGATTTGTTGTTATATGTAGTGTCTGCCATGCTGCCATTAGCAAAACAGTGTGCTTTTGAAGAGCCTTCGGTTGAGACAATCAGTGGAGAAAATGTTTTGACTTGGCCTCATGTGGTGAGTCCTCCATGTATCCTGATTTCCCTTTTTACAGCTTTTCTATTCTTAAATGAACAGAGTGCCAAAAAGTGTGATGATTTCTATAGATGAAAAAATAATTGAAGCTTCCCGGACACTGCATCAAAGTATTGTTATAACCACTCTTCAAAGATAATATTACTGGAATGAAGTTTACAACTGCTCTGCTCCCTTTTTCGGAACGTTTAGGATTTTTTTCATATAGGGTTGTATAAATAGTGATGTTTTAAATTATACTTGGTGTGACCCCCTTAATGCTTGAAATAGAATTATCTTTTTCTTTCCAAAAACAGATCTTTTACAAGATTAACTGTAATATGAAGAACTCCAAGATAATAAGGATGGAAGATTTAGAAAGACGATGCTGGGTGGGCGTCAGCCCTTTTTTAACTTGGTGCTAAAAGTGATGACGAGGTTTTTGGGGGCATAGATGGACTTGAACCCTCAAGATAAAACTAATTTTAGTTTTCATTTTCCTTGTGATGGACTTTGGCTATCAAAGGAGGATTTTGAAAAATTCATATTTAACTTTGTAAAGAACCTCATTACTTGGGTCTTAAATTCTTGAGCCAAGGTTTTAATAAGAAGAGATGTTGGGAAGTAATTGGCCATCTCAATAACTTGTGAGCTTGTAAAAGAGACGAGAAGTTCATATGAAGACTGAAGGTATGTAGTGGACAGGAAGATATTTAGAGAAAAGGAGAAAATTGTTCTCTATAACTTTATTTCTAACATAAGTAATCCTTGACGGGAAAATGAATTTGGAAATAACATGGGAGCAATGTTCTTGGTTGGAAAGGTTCGGAGGAGCAAATATGATATGGACCTAAATGAATGGAATTGCTAGAGAACCTAAGAGGCTTATTCACAAAATGGGACTCTAGAAAGCAATGGCATGGCTTGGGTGCTTGCGTATTGGTGTCTGACACATGTACGGATGTGCAGGTTGACCCCCTTTTCTGGTTCTTTATAGTTGGACATGTCTTTGATGCACACTGATTTTTAGAAAAAAATGAGAAGGAGAAACTAATTGTTTCTCGTCTTTATCAATCTATGATAGAAGGGTCGTGCAATGGTGGGTAGATAAGATGGCAAAGGGTTGAAGATGAAGGCGTCGTTGTAGGTGGGTCACTAGTAATATCGAACGGTGGATGTCTGAGTTTGACGATGCAGTGAAAAGAATGAATGCGGAAAAAAAAAAAAAAAACCATCTTTGTTCAGCAATTAAAATGCATTGCTTTATTAACTGGGCAAACACCTATTTTATTTAAAGAGCACTCACTCTTTCGATTAAATAGGCCAAAATTGAGTCATAACTTATAAGCTTTTAAAATTAACGAAATTAGGAGTCTATTTTTTTTTAGATTCAAGAGCAGATGCACTTAACAATCAAAATTTGGGATATTAACGTCTACTAAAACAATTACAAAATTGAACAAACATAAGCATATCTGATGGCAAACACCTATTTTATTTAAAGAGCACTCACTCTTTTGATTAGATAGGCCAAAATTGAGTCATAACTTATAAGCTTTTAAAATTAACGAAATTAGGAGTCTATTTTTTTTTAGATTCAAAAGCAGATGCACTTAACAATCAAAATTTGGGATATTAACGTCTACTAAAACAATTACAAAATTGAACAAACATAAGCATATCTGACATAAAACCCTCCTTTACTTCAACATGTACGCAATATTCTATTTGTTTTGCAGTATAAAATTAAAAATGAAATATATTTTTATAATATTCTAACAAATGTGTACCCGACATGTCGTCCTCTACTTTTCTGAAAAATCAAGTATCAGCATGTCTCTAAATGGGACGTAAACACGTTTTGCTGACTGTTATATAAAAGGAAGGTTCATACTTGGGATTTAGTCAATGTCCAATTTTTTTTTTTTCTCCTTTACACTGTAATGTGAAGAAAAGAATCAGAACGTATTTATCATCGTTGCAAGGAATCTATGGATTAGAGTATCAAAGGAAGCAGATAAGCTTGAGTGCTTCCAGGAAATATGCAGCATTTATTCCTTGAGAAGCCAATTGGATTCCTTTAAGAAAGGTTTGTGATATGGGAAGCAGTAGTATCAAACATTCTTTGAGTAATATGGACAGAGATAAAATGCAGTGTTTTGGAGGCGTCAGAGAAAGTTATAGTTATGGGAACAGGGTCTGCATCTATGGGATTTAAGGGTGTTCTTTTTTCTCTAACTGATTTCAGTTGAAAACAAAATGCATTCTTGATTTCTAGTTTAATGGATAGAGGATATCTATCTTTCATGATTGTCAATATAGTTCTTTGATTAATAAAATTTCATTTCTTGTGAAAAATATATCTAATGGAAGCAGATAAAAGGTTTTAAGCTATAAAAGTTAGGGGGGCTACAGATTTCCTTATGATCTAATTTTCTAAGATGTATTGGACGGTATTTGCATAATAATATTGCATTGCTGTGCCCCTTTTTTACATTACCAAATTATAGTTTGTCCAATCTAAATTTTACCTTATCGATACTCTAACTGGTTGTTGATCATGCTTTTAATAATTTTTTCATTCTGAAATTCATATTTCAGTTGTCATATGGTGAATTATTGTTTCTATATTTTCAAATTTCAAGACTCTAGTAGTTTCCCTTCCGTGGTCTTGGGGACTGATAGGGAAAGGGAATTGCTTCGAAGGTGCACTTTATAAACTATTATGTCTTTCGTACTTTTGTACAACGGTATCATCTAATTTCAATTATATGCTTATGTTACTTCCAACACTGCCTAGTGCCTACAAGCATGTCTTTTCCACTCTACTAGGCATGGCCAAGCTTTCTTCAGATATTTCACATGATTTTAATATGGTAGTCCTGGTCAACATGCGATGCACGTTATGCTTTAGAATTTTAAAGTCTTTAAAAAATTTTATTTTTTCTTTGTTAGTCCTGTCCCATAGCCTCAGAAACCGCCCATCTTTTAGATTCAATGATTGGATTCTCTTCCCACGTAGTTGGTCCTTAACCTCGTCGTCATTTTCATACTTTTTAAGTTTCTATAAATATTGAAAGAAATTTCTCAGGTTGCATTTATTTTAACATCATGCTTTGAAGCATGTAAAGCTTGCTGCTCTTTTGCCACCCTCTCTCCTATAAGAAGAGAATCCTCCACAAAAGATACACCCTTCAAAGATGCTTATGCATGTGTCACTCATGCTTCATTTTGTGGAAAATGAAGGACATGGAAATTTATAGTGATTTTAAGAACCTTCTAAATAAACTTCAACAAATCACATTCATGTATGTCCATCTTCCTTGGCTACGACTCTTTAAATACATCAATCTATCTAGTAAAAACAATATGTGATGAATGAATAAATCTAGAAAACTACAATGTATCTTATCTATGGAATTTAATAGTTTAATAAATTGATTCTAGGAATGCATGAATACGTGTCAATTAATAAAATCAAAATTAAAAAGAATATTATTGAAATAATCTAAACATAGTTTAAATAAAATCATCCATAAATGATTCTCGTCTCATATGACTTGTAATATATTATAGAATATAGATATGCTAGAGATGTTATATATTAGTGCATATTTACCTGATTTATCTCGAATATTATTTTGCTTTTGTAAAAACTAATTTTTTTCATTTTCTGATGACAGGTAAAACAGGTGGACTGTTATACAGTTACCCTTCATGAGCTAGAATCTGTTTCCACCAGATTTAAGTTTAAATCAATGATGCGGGGTTAGATCCCTTTCTCTTCTTTTCATTGATATTTTGGGTAGACCATGTGTTTATGTATCTCTGAGCATGTATGTTCACGGCACCAATACTTACCCACTCTCTAAAAGGCATTTTTTCTCACTCCAGATCATTTCATTTCATTTCCATGTAAATTTCATTTCCTTCATGAGCATGTATCTTACCTTTATTGAGTTTTGATGTTATCATTGAATTTGCAAATTAATGCATGATTAAATATTTTTGCTCTCCTACAAGTTTTGAAATTTTAGGAATGTAATTTTCTAACAGTAGTAGTATATTTGCTTTTGAATTCCAGCACCATTTCATGGGTTTGCTTTCTGGTTTGATGTGGAGTTTGACATACCTGCAATATTCCCTTCCAATAACAATACAAGAATTGCTGCATTCATTGAGCCTCCTAATAATCATGATATAGATGGCACTCAAAGAAAGAAGCGGGCCAATCCCAATGAAGCCCTTGTGTTGTCTACGGCACCTGAGGATCCTCCAACGCATTGGCAACAGGTGTCTTACGTACATTTAATTTATGTCTTTTCTTGTGCTTGGGCTCGAGGAGTGTATGCGGCACATGCTTTGACTTGTTCTTTAAATAACATTAGGCCAGTGTAGCAATTGCCCAGATGGCTCACTACACTGCAGTTCCCATCAAACACAAACTAGCTGTAGCTCAAAGTGATTAAGCAATTGACCCTACCATTGTGTCAGACCTGCTTGCTCTAACGGATCCTGAAGCAGGCAGCCTAATTCTTTCCTAGGTGTAAAAGAGTTTTGGAAACTAAGGTTGTAAAGAAACTACCAAAATTTTAAGCGAGTTGTATCTTAGGATAAACAAGAAATTTGGATATGTAGCTTAAAACTACATCCACACTAGCTTGTACAACTAGTTAAGCCAGATTCTGGATAAACATGGGTCAACTAGATGATTTTTCTCTATTATATTCAATCCTTAATGTCAACATCCAGACTGGCATATTACAAAATAACAGGACATATATATAAAATCTAGTGATAAATTTATAACTCAGTGAAGGATAGATTACATGACTATTGGATAAAAGCAGTCGAGAAGAATTGACTATTTTTGCACTGTTGAACTTGAGATACCTTGAGCATATAAGATGGACAGCAATAAGTCTTTGAATCAATTAGTCTTTGTATGAAAATGAGGTGGTTCATAGAGGAATGCATAGAATAGACAGCAGAAGAAGAGAAGAAATAGGGAGGTTTTTCATTTTAGGAAACTCACACTGATTTTCTGTGGCAAGGTGGCGAGCATATATCAGCATGATATTGTAATATATGAATTTAAATGTCAAGATTGGCTTGGTCCTGTAGAGTCGGTGAACTTTTTTTACATCATTTATTTTGCAAATTGGATGTGTAAGCAAGGAGATAGGATTTGTTTCTGGGAAGAGATTTGAATTGGCTCAAATTCTTTTGCGTTTATCTTCCCCCGGATTTTTCAAGCTTTCAAGGTTAAAATGTGTCAGCATTAAGTGTGTTGGTTCATTATCTGAATGGGACAATGAGTTGCAACTTTCACTTATGTCAGGCTCTGTGAAGTACTGAAATTTCACATTTGTCTTTGTCGCCTATCCTTGAAAATTATATTTAAGCCTTTTGATATGACAAATGAATATGGACATTGCATTCTGGGTATCTTTTCTTGTAAATCATATTTTCATAATTGATTTGCCTAATTCCTTCTTTTGATCCTTTCAATTTCCTTCGGAAATATTTTATCCCTACACAATTGAGGTGTTCCTTGGATAGTTTATCAGAGAAATTAATACTTGTGCTTTGGCCCAAGGGAGATATTGTCATTATTTTCTTTCCCCGTCATGGTTTCTAATGTTTAGAAAGACTCAGAATGCATTGAGCTCTGTTTTTACTTGGTGATGCTAAAAGATCGTCATAGTGCAGGTTTCTTTGGGAATCCAGTTTTAATTAGGTCTTTTAAGTAGGTGTAATTAATTACTTTTCAAAAAGCCAATTTGTTTAGCTCATGTAAGATGGAGACACCTATGAGGACATCAATGGTTTCGGCTATCATTTGGATGAAGATTGTTTGTCCTCTACTTTTTTAATTCTTACTCCATGACCGTAAGTTTCTTCTTTCATTTAATATGATCAGTACCCATGTGATCAGCATTTCTGTAGAAACTTCAAAATTCTAGAAGTTGCAAAGAAAGGTTTGCTGGTTATCTCAACTGCTGAAGAGTTGACGGTTGTCTGTATCTTGTCCTTCGCGATTTCCTCACATTTTCGGCTGTCTCTTGCTCTCAAGCAATGTATTCACATAATATTTGTTCATTCCTTTTTCTTCCCGTGGATTTTGCAGACATTGATCTACTTCTATGATCCAATTGAGGTGGAGCAAGATCAAGTTATTGAAGGTTCTGTAACATTGTCACAAAGCAAAGAAAATCCTCGGTTCATGAATATTCATTTAGAATATGCGTAAGTGAAAGACTTATTTCATTTTGCAAAGATTGAAATACACTTCCATATATGCTCATAGTGATTCTTAACTCCAAGCAGATCCAATGGTCGTTGTTTTGTTAAAGAGTCTGTTATGCGATAAGCGAGGCGGTGATTTTTACCCTTTTGCTCACGTGGAATGTGAAGCTATTGGGTCAGATCCGGATCAGTAAGGTAGCTGTGATGCAATTGGTTTCGTAGATTCTGCATCTTCATTTATCTGCTCGTGTATCTGAATCCCTTGGCTCTATAAGACATTATAATTTATTGTGTTGGATGCAACTATAGGCTTAACTGTTGAAAAACCTGAAGCTATTATTCTTATAATTGTATACCATAGACATTAGTATTATTATTATTTTTAATTTCTTTCTAGGTTCTGTGTAATCCTATGTGAGTTGTTTTTTGTAGAGTAGAATTATTAGTATTATTGGTGAATTTTTGGAAACAGAATTGGATGGTGTCATCTTTCTTGATATTGGGGTGTCTCCTTATGTTTCAAGAACTGGTTGAAATGCTCAACAATGTGTGTGTGTGAGAGAGAGAGATGAAATTAAACTTCCAATTTTGCTTGCCTGCGCTGAATTCAAATACACCTACGATAATGGATAAAATTCTACCTTAAGAGCATCTTCTATGCAATCTATAAAGGCTATTTAGGTGTATATAAGTTGAAAGACTCTTGGCCTAAGTGATATTGATGTCTAATTATTAAACACTCGAATTCAAAATAGATCTTCAATAGGTTCTATTTGCAACCTAATGATATTTTGTATGTTATTTTATTTCATAAAATGAAAAATTGCTTCTAAATTCACGTAGGGAACATAAATGTGCATAGAATGTAGAAATTTTCTTGACTCTACATGTTTGACATAGCTTCTGAATATAGGTATGAAAGATTTGGTTAGGTGTCCAGTATTGTATGTTGTCACTCGTGTGAAAAAATTAGGGGTAAATGGATACAACTATGCACTCTAGACTGCTCAAAATACGTCAATAATTATTAGAATTTTAGTGTGCGGCGAATTACAATGAGAAAAAAAAAAAAAAATTCTAAATCGAATAATCTCATCTAAGTAACAGACACAGACCTCAGAAGTTCATCGACGTACTCTTTAAGCTTAATTTTTGTTATTGCGCCTTCCCTTCTGCTATTGGGAACTTCCTTTCCATCTTTGAAGAGAATGAGTGTTGGCAATCCATATACCTTGTATTTTTCAATCAGTTTCGGATTTGAATCGTGATCAATTTTCACGACTGTCAATTTGTCTTCATATTCCTAAGAATTACATAAAACATATCTTTGTTGATTAATGCTAATAAGCTTCCAAATAAGTAGAAAGATAATAAAGTAATGGAGAGGTAAATTATCAATATAAATACAAAGGAAGGTAATAAATATAGTAGAATGGATTATGGCACCTGAGCAACAGATTGGATGGAAGAAGCGATCAAGCGACAGGGACCGCACCATGTTGCGACGAACTCAACAAGGACCGGACGCTCTGACTTCAAAACGACGTCGGCGAACTCACTCTCGTTAGTCTCTCTAATTATGCTGCCAGCGCATTTTGTTACTTTATTTAACGATGACTTTCTGGTGGCGATCAGCGAATTTGAATTTAACCGAAGTTTATAGTTATTAACGAAAGCCGATGAAGATGATGATGACAATAAAGGAAGAGCTGAACGGGAGTAACTATTCACTGTACGAACCGAATAGAATTGGGAACAGTAGGGAATCTTGGAACTGGAGGCAAATACTATTGGGATCGTCTCCATCGGTGAAAAATGAGAAGTGCAGAGTTGAGGGGGAGAGAGGAACAATTCTGTGGCCAATGAGGAGGTGTCCACGTGGCACGTTGCATACCCGTCCATTCTCTATCAAATTGACCACTGCCTCATCCAAATTGTAAGACTCTAAACGCTCGATACATTAGACCAATATATTCTCATTTGGTCACTACTTATAGATTAGGTTTCAATTTGGTAACTCAACTTCAATTTGTCTTAAATTAGTCATTCAACTTTAAGTTTTGTTTTAGGGTTATCACTAAGCCCTTGTTTGGTGAAAATTAAAATTCAGATTTTAATCTAAGCGAAAGTCAACAATTAATTTTAACAACACATTTAATGAGACCTACAACCTTTCAATCACATATTTCTTCAACTTTTATCAAAATTTACCAAAATTCTGATTTTAATCTCTACCAAACAAGGGCTAAATTTTAATTTTTTTTTTCAAAGTAAATATTGAACATTAAGTTTATCTCACATTGGTAACTACATTAGTCGCCAATTTAAAATTTTATGTTAAATTAATTTGTCAAATGAACTTATGTTTAGCCATATTAGAGAGAGTTCTTGTTGACAGCTTGTGTGATTGATACTAATTCAGATAGATATTTTTGGAGCTGTAATTTGTAAAGAGATTAGCACGCTAACCAATTATTATGATGAATATATGCAAAAGGCTTGAATCTGAATGTAAATCAAGAGAAAAAATAGTTTGATTATGAGGGTTAAGGGTAGCAGGCTGGTCGATGGGGACAAAGGGTTTGTCTCCAATTTGGAATCTTACTTCAAGCCAATATCCTAATTATAGATGACTAGTGTTTGCTAAAAGTGCGTGTCGCAAGTGCACGGGTCGTGTACAAGTAATAAAGTGGACCTTTTGAGTTCAGGTTGTCGATTTCTTGAAAAATGTATACTTTCAATTACACAACTCTAATTAATTTAATTCTAATAATAAAAAAAACACACACAATAAAGATTATGATTTTGGAAAATAACTAAAAATCTACCAAATATGAAATTTTTGGAATTTTTGGAAGCAAACGTGGTTGGGATTCATAATTTCATTTAATCATCGCCTAATTAATTTCTCCACGAGCCAATTAAAAGGGTTCTCATTTATAATGTTAGACCTTATTTTTCAGTTTTAGTTAATTACCTCTATCGAACGAAATTAAACATAATTGATTGGTTTAACCTACTATATCTTTATATCGATTAAAACCGAACAATTGCATTAAATATTTGTGAAAATAGTTCATTGACTCACCTAGAGCTAGAGGTATGTCTCTATCCTCTACACAAACATATGATTTCTACTATTTGATCTAAAATGCACAATCTTCTCTCGAAATATGTACAATTCACTAAACACGATCATTCATTGACCACATAAATGAAAATACATGGAATACAATAGAAGAAACACATGAAATAAACAAATCAATATCAAATGGCAAATATTAAAATTAATCAAGGCTAGATTAAACTACAACCATAAATCCAACACAAATAACAGCCCATTTTATACAAATGATAAAAATGAGAATATTTTGTACAATACATTGCAAGTATGGCAAAATAATTAAGAAAATACAAAGTTATAGATACAACTCAATTTGAAACTTGACTTTGATTTTTTCAAATATTTCTCCACCTCCTTGAATGATTCTCCTTTGTGTTCTATGATTTGCTCCCAAAAATATCAAGGAAAATAAAAGAAAACGAAGAAGAAGAAAAAAAAAGAAGAAAGAAAATGAAAAGGAAAGTAAAAAGAAAGAGAATAAGGCTAGGGTTTTCTTCCAAGATGAAGAATAGAATGGTTGAGAAAGGGTGAAAATGGTGTTTAAAAAGGATAAAAATCATCCCAGCCAAATTGCAAGAAGAGCCCTGAAAAAATTAAAATGTGCGCATATGTCCTGATTTTCAACTTAAGGCGCGCGCCTTAGCCCTATGGTTGCTCTCAATTTAGTCCTTAAATTTTGAATTTCTTTTCAATCAAGTGCTTCATAATTTGCAACTCGAGTCCTTGAACTTTCTGACTTGTACATCTTAGTCCCCAAAGTCATTATTCTTGTCCATTTTTGGTCCATTTTCCTTCATTTAGCCTTCCTCTCTTTCAATTTGGAATATTAACCTACAAACACCGTAATTACACAATTTTGAATAGGAATCCACTCAATTACATCAATAATTAGCTTATTAAAGTGCCTAATAAGTGTGTAGAAACACACTTATCAACTAGGCTTTTTCAGATAATTATAAATCAAAGCCATCATTATTGTCTACGACTCGATCGCCTGATGTTGGAGTAAATTGCATGGTTTATCAATATGACGAATTAGATAAGTTTGTTACAAAAGGTGTCTTCAGCCGTTCTTGAATGTCGTCATCATCCACCTCACGCCTTGCTGGAAGCCGCAGTGTGGGGGTTCGATTCTTGAAACATGGAATTAGACTCCTTGTAGGCGCAGTGTACAGACAGCTCTTGTTCCCTAGCCTGTTGGGACACATTCCGCGATTTACCTCCCTCACAAAGCTCTAGGGACGGGACGGTGGGGGTCTTCAAGGTTGGGGTTCAACATTTTTTTAAGTTATCTAAGGTAACTAGTACGTCAACCCGTTCATATGTGCCTCTTCCAGCTCAATCTCCACAGGATCAATATCCTTCACTTCCGTCTACAATTTAGAGATTGGAAATGCTGTCAATATTGACAGTCAACAAAGGACGAGTGGCATTTATTAAATTTCTTTCATTAGGTTTTTCGAAAATTTATATATCCTGAACGACGGATGTTGAATACATATTTGCCTTGTAGCTCATTGATTTGAGGCCAATGCTAATGAAGTCTTGTACAAATCGTTAACTTTAAATTGACTCGTACAGAACACAATCAATAATCTTTTCCGACGATAATACACGCCATTTTTTCATAACCTTCTTGGGAAATGATATTGAAGTCTTGTACTACTCCTTTCCCCATTGAAACATTTACATTTTCCCCATTGAAACATTTACATATCCTCATAATTTCTAGCTTCTTCAAAAAGAGAATGGTAAACGATTTTCTTGTACAACATTGGATACAAAATATGCTGTGATCAAATATAACTTACCAATTTTCACAACATCAAAGTTGGGTGAATCCTTTAAGCTCAAGAAAACATCATTTGCATCGGCATTTGTTATTGTCCAACGATGTCTTAAAATAATTTTTCTGATGTCTTTTTTCATACTTCTTATTGGTTGTCTCCGATGCATCGAAGGCTGGTTATTATGTAAAATTCAACAACAGCAAATTTTATATATTATTACCTAGAACCACATATCGTTTTGATTGAGTTTTGCTTCACTTCTCTCATCTAGATATAGTGGATCAATGTGAGATTTCTTTACAATCAATGTAGTACCAAAAGCATGTTTCTTATAATGTTGACCTTTCTTCATCTCAACATTGATCCTCACCTAATTTCTCATGGTGAATTTGCATAGATGTCACAAAATTTAAATATGCATAAAAAGTTGTCACTTTTATTATTGTGAAATGTGCAAAATCATCCTTCGAGATACCATTTTTGGATGTAATGCTCATAATGCACGCATTTAATGTTAATTAATGTCATATTTGATTATTTGACTTGTGTAAGAAAAACCTTTGAATATATCTATAATCCAATGTGTAATAGAATTTTTAACCAAAAAAATTTCATAATCCCAAATTTGTTACTTGCTATTTTTGAATTGTTAAATCCAACATGCTTATATTAATTTTCGTTTTGGTTTTGTAAATTATTATTCATTCATAAGGTTTGATTTTGCAAATCCTTTTGAATAAAAGATTGCAATGTCCTCCATAGAATGTTATGAAAGATTTTCTATTTAATAAAATAATGTGTAATATTTTTGTGAAGATTTTGACATTGGATAGTTGAGCATTGATGAGCATGCTTAATGCTATGAAGAATGTATTTCAATCACATTCATTAAAGCATGCTTCCTGTCAGTTGCTATTCATAAATACCTACAGTTAGTAAATATCTGGGAAATACATTTGAACTATCAGTCTCATCGATTTGCTATAATTTATTCGTAGATGTCACTTTCATGTTATTAAAGTCCAATATATTAATTGTACCAAATGCTTATCTTTGATATCTCAAAATTTCTAGTGTGAATAATAATCTGAGATTCATCGTATCGTATTTACAAGTATACGTTCTCATATAGGTAGATCACCCATGTGATGTAAGTAATTCAAATATGAGTCTAGTGTACAAATCAGGAAATGCACTCGGTGTGGGCAATTTGGCCACAACTGGGTAACATATTCGAACCCGTGTTCTAATAGAAGCACGTGAAGTGGAATGATGTTCAAGAGTTGAGGTTGTATTATATATATTACCATAATGATGTTCGCCATTTATGTTATATTATCATTATCGTTGCAAACTTTTATTCGTGTACAAAAATCGTTTCACTTCTTTCAAAACATAATATTTCATTAACTGTTGATTGTTCAACTGTAATTCTTGACAGTTCGTTGTTAAGTAGTAAACTAGACAAAATACTCGAACATAATGATTGATAGAACACACAATTAAAGAACATATTGACAAATCAAATCAAATCAATCTACCAAAAAGTGTAACTTGCAAACGCTAATTTGACGATCGAAGCACCCTTCTAGTAGTAAAACAACACACAAAAACGTTGAACTTATCAACGGTGTACATATATTGAAAATTGTATTATTAGTAACCTTTAAAAAAGAGTATAAGAAAGATTGACTAGCATCTATTTATGTAGTCTACTCTTAATTAATTTTCAAATAACATTACAGATTGCAAATTAAAATTCAAGAGTAGAAGAAACTAAAAATAAAAGATTAATCTCTTGGTGAGAGCATCCCCACATTATTTTGTCCTGTTTTCAAATCTTCACCTTTTATAAGCTACAAAAAGTTGATCAAATCTGGCAATCTCTCAGCAAATATTTCTATAAATGTTAAAAATCTCAATTACAATCCTATCCATTGCTTCAAGAACAAGAAGAACCATATCCGCTTTCAAAAGTGGCTTAATTTGCAACAAATCAATTAAACTCTGCAATTTTTGC